CATCGTGGACACAGGCCTTTACACAGTGTTCCATTGTTGGAAAGCACCCACTATCTCCGTCGTAAAAACGGATGTGGAATACGCATAGTACACTGATATTACATAATTCCGATTGCCTTACATTAGCACAACTGTCGATTAATTATTCAGAGCATAGATTCCGCCATTAATTGCGCGGACCAGATCCTTGAGCAAGATAAAAGAAGCCTCGTGTTCTTGCGACAGACACGAGGATTACAGAGACATAGAGCAATCCCTTCTCTTTTCCAATCGTAAAGGTATCGGGAACGATATAAATTTCGTCGGTTCTCTCTCCGCCCGAGGGTGCGTACATCTCGTCAATTATGTAATACCAGAACGTCAACGTTGTGCGCTCGCGAAACTTCGCGCGCGGGTCAGGTGATGCGCGCCGACGATCGCGGCTAAAAATAAGATTGCAAGAACGAGACGGGGACTCGCGCCTCCCGTGATCGCCGGCGACGAGAGAGAACGCTCGTAGGACAACGGATGCCGAGCGTCACGCTTTCGGGAACATATTTTCGGCGTTTCCCGGAATCGACACGCGTTCGAATTAACCTAATCCTCCCCCCTCCCCTCCCCCTTCGCCGGGACCCTCGCGCCGTCCCACGATCAATCGTCGGCGCAAAAGGACCCAGGGAACGTCACGCGCTCTCTCTCTCTCCGAAAGGCACGTGTGTCTCCCGGGAGGGAGAAGTCGAACTCACCCCCGCGAGTTGCGAAGAAGCGAAGGGTACGAGGACGGAATGCGACGTGGAGACAGTACCTGACACCTGCAAACGACGTCAGCGTCCATCGCCAGCATGTCCACGACCTTTCCCTTGCCCTCGTCGCCCCATTGCGCGCCGAGGACCACCGTGACCTTCGAGATGGAGCCGCCGGTCACGGCGGCGGCGGACGTCCGCTGCTTCTTCCTCGGCGAGGCCGGGGCGCCGTTGCCGTTCGCTTGCGGTTGCTGCTGCATTATCGGGCGACACGCGAGCGCGAACGGTCGTCGCTGCTGGTCGTCGACTCGCGGGGAACGTCGTGGCCTCGTGGGGCGCGCTGCCGCTCGGCAGACGGGATCCTGGCCTGCTCCTCGCCCTCTTTCTCTCACGCGCGCGCCGAAGGAACAGCTGACACAGCGGAAATCACACGGGACGATCGTGGGCGAGTAGTCGCCACTTTTGACCGCGCATTGCCCCTCCACTCCCTTCATCCGCCCCTCCCGCGAGTGCTCGCCTCCTCCCTCCCGTCGCTCGCCGGACCGGCCCTGCGGAACCTAACCTAACCTAACCTATCCTATCCGAGTTTTAAGATTGGTTTCCATCGTTCGCCGTACGCCTTGCGCCGTCGTCGTCAGCCTGCGCGCGAGCAACCGCTAGGTTCTCGAATTCGACACGGATTCGAATTCGACAGATATAGTATTTTTATTATTTTTAAAACATTGCTGCAACATTGCTATCGAAAGTTTACAATTTTATATCCCTGCAATGTCTCTGCAAGATTGCAACGTTTCTGCAATGTAACTGCAACCATCTGTGCTGTATGGGTTGTATCAATATCCCATACAGCACAGATGGTTGCAGTTACATGGCAGAAACGTTGCAATCTTGCAGGGATATAAAATTGCAAACTTTCGATAGCAATATTGCAGCAATGTTTCAAAAATAATGAAAATACTATATTTTCTATTTAAAAAATTCCTCTAATTACGAGAATTTTATAATGCTATTTCCGTTGATACCAATAATGCGCGAATTTTGAAGTACTTGTGCGGTGTTGCTCGCAATCTCCATCTATTGCGAAGCGACATAATCTCCTTAGGTTGCTTCGCAATAGCTTGCTGTGTATTGAAAAAGGCCCGGACGCATATGTAATTAGTAAATTCTCTGCTTATGTACAACAACGACAAATTATTCCAAAAATATTGCGCTGCAACATTGCTATAATGTTGCACTGCAATCTCTCTGAGGGCGGACATTTCAACGTTGCTGCAATCCTCCAGAAACGTTGCAGCAATGTTGCGCAACGTTGCTGCAATATTGCAATCTTGCAATGTAACATTTCTGCAATCTTCCTGCAATCTTTCTGTGCTGTGTGGGTATTGTATCAATATTAGATCAATATTCTTATTACATTATTAAATCTTGGCCAATGCACTTCTAATATAAATCTAATATTATATAATTATTATCGTACAATATTTACATTTATTCGATGACCAATATTGGTTTTACGTTGGACAATATCGGCCAATACATTTCTAATATAATCAGTATTAAATAATATTTAGCCAATATTTAGCCAATGCACTGTGCTACTAGGGTATATATTTATTCATGCATGAAAAATTTTTTACCGGGACTTAATCATTTTCAAACGTGACCTGGCTCTGGTTACTTTACATTGCATCTCCGTTTAGTGGAAAATTCATTGTTAGATCCGTGCGTAATCGTTACGAAAAAGAAGAGATTTGTGAAATTCTATGTTAAAAAGCCACTATCTCGTACGAGGAGCCTATCTCACATTATAGCAGGGGACTTTCATCTACGAATAAAAATATTAATTAAGCACGAAGATCCAGGATTACTGTTACGTAAAGGCGTTTCTACTACGGGATTTATTTACACACTGAAAAAAAAATTTGCTAAACGAACTAAATTCATTTAGTTGCCTTGGTTTTACCAAAAATTTGGTAAATTTAACAATTGTTTAGTTCTATTGAAAATGCAACACTTAATTCAACCAAGTGATTTATATATATTGTATGAAAATTGGGTAAATGTTTCCTTTAAC